ATATAATCTTAAGCTTCTATAATGTATTATTGTTGAGTTATAGAGGTATAAAAAAGAGCTATTTTCTATGGAATACAGCATTTCCCGCTCGCCTACAATTCCCACTCGCTTACCGAATACGTTAATAGATATCCATCCGCAAGTGTCAGCTAAACTACTTAGTAATTATAAAAGAAATACAAAAATATAAAAAGGAGCAAAAATAAAAAAGAAAAAAGAAACAACATGTAATGCGGAAGCCGAGATTCGAACTCGGGTCTCTTCCTTATCTCATTCCAAAATGGGAAGGAAGCATACTAACCACTATAAGACATCCGCGTGTTTGTTGTGGAGACTGATCCAAAAAGTGGTTATTATCCACCCTTGGAAGAAGCTGCTTTCGACCTTTCATCCACGGATCGCTGTGGATCCTCCGTCAACACTTCCTCTCTCATACATCTATCCATCTCTCCAGGCCTAGAACACAGAGATACTTCGTCAAAGCTCACGCGTGATTTGTCCCAATTTCAAAATCCACCAACCACTGTGCTCGAAATTCATTCCAACTTCCAACCTGGTCTATCAACCCCTTGCATGGTATGGCCTTGTAAATATGGTTCGCATTACGAGGCGGCTTCATTCAGAGAAGTCAGATCAGGATGAACCAAATGATCTGCCTCAATCCTTGCATTGTGTTCCCTCACAGCTTCATGGATCCACTTTTGCTCCACGCGATGGATGAAGATGGAGCAAAATTGTCAGGTTCGGCCCAATTCGATGGACAGAACTGGTGTGTAACTCTGATTTGTATCCCCTACTTTGTTTGATTGGTAAATTGCAACAATATCCCGAAGGGCAGGGATTCATTCTTTCCCTCAGTGGCTCAATCCAGTGAATTGCAATGCTCCACCTTGGACCTGTTTAGAATAGTGGTGGAGCAACTATCGAGCGGCTATTTACCTAGCCGTTACACTCCCCTTGACCATCTGGTTGGTGCTTGATACCTTTGATACCTGATCTCCCTCCTAAAGCTCTAATTTTTGCCTCCCTAAGTTTTGTTATTTGGGGCCACACCTGCTATCCTATGCCTATCTATACTCGAATCTGACGCAACTAAAAAGAATGAGATGGTACTTTAAAGACAATTGAAACAATCCCCAAACATTCGCCAGCCCCGAATCCTTCGACGACTATGACAAGGGACCCCGAGGCCAAACCAGATGCCCAACCTAACGAGAAATACTCCCCACGAAAGTGCGAAAATCCAACCACAATAGTGGAGGATGTCACAGACGATAAAACTAAAGATAATGGGCAATTAAAGCTGTCTGCCTGGCAGAAGCTCAATCCGCTACGATGGCAAAAAATCCCCCCTTTACCATCACAAAGGCAGGTTTCTAGGGAATACCGTGCTAGTGTGCTGAGTATAATTTTTTTCGACTGGGTCTCTCCGCTCATTAAGGTCTGTCAACTCATATTACCATTCATATGGTAGCTCTTAAAAATCTTACACTACTATTTAGACCGGCTACCTACGTGACCTAGACGAGCGGGACATATGGTCGGTCAATCCAAATAGATCTATACACGCGTTGTCCGGGAAGCTCGAACTAGCCTTCAAGCACCGCGTGGAGAATAGATACAAAAAACCACTATACTGGGCTCTGTATGATGTGTTCAAATTTGAGCTGTGGACCAGCATGGTATGTATGTCAGTCAACATGGTTGGTAGTGTTATGGCGCCCTTTCTGTCCAGGCATCTAATTGCTTTCACCATGGAGGCTTATGGGGCTCGCGAGAGGGGCGATCCTATGCCTAGTATTAGCTCTGGAATGGGGTATGCTGTGGGTATCTTCCTAATTATATGTTTGAATGCAGTCTGCACAAATCACGCCTTTTACTGGGGTCAAATGGCCGGTGATCAGATCAAGGCGGCCCTGACCTCCATGATCTTTTCCAAGACCATGAAACTTTCCAGCCGTGCGAGAATTGATGGACTCTTCGTTCAGGAGGGGGGAAAGGGGCCACTATCAGCGGATGTAGACAAGGGCTGGAGCAATGGGCGAATAGTTACACTGATGAGCGTTGACTTGGCACGTATCGCAAGATCCTGCGGCACTCTTCATGTTCTCGGAGCTACGGTCACAGCCTTGACCGTAGTGTTGATTATTCTCGTTATCATGATTGGATACAGTGCGCTTTCAGGCTACGGATACGCGGTGATCGCGGTATTGTGTACAGCAGGTGCCATGAGATATCTTGTACGATCTCGGAGGCGTCTGAATGGTATCACAGACCAGCGGGTCTCTTTGACACAAGAAATCTTGCAAAATGTGAGGTTTATGAAGTTTTTCGGGTGGGAAAGCAGCTTCCTAGGCCGATTTCGAGATATTCGCGCGCGAGAAATTCGCTCACTTCACAGAGTCGTCATGATCAAACATACAATCACCGTTTCATTAATGTCGGTCACCGCCCTAGCTTCCATGTTGAGCTTTATTACCTATGCACTCACCGGTCATTCTCTTACCCCGGACCGTATATTTGCGTCCCTTGGCGCCTTCAATGCGCTACGATCCCCATTCAACCTCATCAATATGACCCTTAGTCAAGCAGCTGATGCATGGGAGGGTGTCAGCAGAGTCCAGAGTTTTTTGATGGCCGAAGAGCGAGAAGACTACATCGAATGGGACTTTGGTATGGAGAAGGCGATAGATCTTCAGCATGCGTCGTTTACGTGGGAGGTAGCAACAACCCCGAATGTGGAGGAGCACAAGTCTCGCACTAGCATAACGACAACGCGAACCTCTCAAGTAAAGCCCTCGCTCCCCAATGGCGAGACAGAGAATGTGGCCTTTAATCTTCCAGATTTGAACCTCACGCTGGGGCGCCATGAGCTAGTTGCAATAATTGGAGCAGTCGGGTGTGGCAAAAGTTCATTATTGGGAGCTCTTGCCAGCGACATGCGGCTGATCTCCGGTAGTGCCCGGTTGGGGGCATCCCGTGCATTCTGTCCTCAGATTGCATGGATCCAGAACGCCACTGTTCGTAACAATATCTTGTTCGGACAGGAATACGACGAAGACAGGTACAATCAAGTGGTCAATGCGTGTGCGCTTCAATCGGATTTTGCGATGTTGCCGGATGGAGACCACACAGAGGTTGGGGAACGTGGAATAACGCTATCGGGTGGCCAAAAGCAAAGAGTGAATATCGCACGAGCTGTCTACTCCAACTCGGAGATTGTTTTGATGGACGATCCTCTGTCAGCTGTTGATGCTCATGTGGGCCGTCAGCTTATGGACCAGGTGGTATGTGGGCTCCTCAAGGGCCGGTGTCGCGTGCTTGCAACCCACCAGCTTCATGTCCTCAAACGCTGCGACCGAATTATTGTGATGGAGGAAGGCCAGATTCAAGCTATTGATACTTTCGACAACCTGATCGAGACGGACGAGCTCTTTCAGCGTCTCATGTCCAAAATCACTACAGATGAGCAGGGCTCGAGAGTGTCACCCATGATCAATGAGATCGAGAGCGTGCCAACGAAAGCTGTCGGTGATGCATCCAAAAATAACACTCGAAAACCTGCATTAATGCAAAAGGAGGAGATAGCTGCCGGGTCTGTAGGATGGACAGTCTGGAAAACTTACATCAAGTCAACCGGCTCCATTCTCAATTTCTTCGTTTCCATTGCTCTCGCCCTCACTTCCACTGGATGTCTTGTTATGTCAGGGTTATGGCTATCGTATTGGACGTCCAATAAGTATCCAAACCTAGGAGTAACTCAATATGCGGGCATTTATGCCGGCATCTCCATAACCCAGGTTGTTATCATGTACCTGTTCTCACTCCATATGAATATCGTTGGTAGCATTTCTAGCAACAATATGCTCATCCGTGCTATGAAACGCGTCCTCCGGGCACCAGTGTCTTTCTTCGATACAACCCCTCTGGGGCGCATTACAAATCGTTTCACCAGCGATGTTTCGGTGTTAGATGAGGACCTCGCCGATAACATGCGCGTCTTCGTCTACTCAATTACCATCGTGGCCAGTACAGCCGCGCTCGCCACTGCATTCTTCCACTACGTAAGCCTTTTCCCAAATGAACCCCCGCAGTCCTTGATGATGTTGTCTCATATAGTCTCCTTATCTAGTTTGCGATAGTAGCCGCCATGGTGGTGGCATTCAGCATACTTCTCGTTCGGTATAGCCGACCATGCTCTCGACGCCTAAGACGGCAGGAAGCCGTGCTCCGCTCTGTGGTCTTTGCCCGGTTCAGTGAAGCCATTGTTGGTGTCTCGACTATCCAAGCATACAAAATTGAGGCACACTTCCAGCGGACCTTCCATGAGGCGATCGATTCCTTGACAGGAGTCTCCTTTCTAGCGACCGCGGACCTGCGATGGGTTGGGATTCGAATAGATCTGGCCTCTTCTCTATTGATTCTTACTATTGCATGTCTTGTCGCTTCCAGTCAATTCAATGCGACTCCTAGTACCTCGGGACTTGTTCTGTCGTATGTACTTAATATATCCACTGCGTTAACACTCTCCATCAGGCAATTTGGTCAATCTCAGACTGGCATGAATTCCGTGCAGCGACTTCATCATTACGGCGACAATCTAGAGCAGGAGCCCCCTCTTCACCAGAAAGACGTTCCGCCCAGTTGGCCAGAGAAGGGCCAAATCACATTCACAAATGCACAGATGCGTTACCGGGATGGACTCCCGCTTGTTCTCCAGGGTCTTTCTATGGAGATACGTGGCGGGGAGCGAATCGGCATCGTCGGACGCACTGGCGCCGGAAAGTCCAGCATCATGGCGACACTATTCCGTTTTGTTGATCTCTGCGGGGGCAGTATCGTAATCGACGATATCGACATTGCCACGGTAGGAGTGCAAGATCTCCGTACGCGAATGGCGATCATCCCACAAGACCCGACCCTTTTCAAGGGCACGATACGCTCCAACCTGGATCCATTCAATGAGCATACCGACCTCGAGATGTGGTCAGCGCTGAGAAAGGCCCATCTTATCGGCCAAGAACTACCTGGGGAGTCGCAGTCGTTGACTGACAATAACGACGATGAAGCTACCACGCACAACGAGAAGTCTACTACTCCTCCTTCTGCCCAACCAAGACCTCTGCATCTAGATACATCTGTCGAGGAGGGCGGGGAAAACTTCTCCCTGGGCCAACGTCAGTTGATGGCGCTCGCACGAGCGCTCGTTCGCGACTCCCGGATTATTATCTGTGACGAGGCGACTTCCTCAGTCGACCTTGAGACCGACACGAAGGTCCAGGAGACCATCGCTCATGGCTTCCACGGTAGGACCTTGC